ACGAATGCAACAAACACCAAGTAAGTGAGTAATTATCATCGTAGCGCGCGTGTGCATGACCAGTGACCATGACCATGACCATGACCGTGTTTCCGTACAACAAAGTGCAGATTGCAGGGTATAGCAGTGAGGTATCAAAAGGGCAGACATGAACAAAAAGCAGAAGCAGAAGCTGAAGAAAAGAATAAGGGGAAAGGGACAAAAAGTAGGTAGCTAGCAGACGGGAGGGGTAAGTAGCAGGTATTGGAAGGGATCCGTTAACACTCGGTTTCGTTGGCTGAGGTATAGCAAACCGTCATGCCATCTTGATCCGGGTGTTCGTTCTGTGAAACCAGAAGGAGAAGTAAGAAAAGAAAGCACGCTTAAACAGGCTGAAGATGTTGCTAGCTGGTGAATTGATATGAAATGGGATGATATAGAGTTATAGAAGGGGAAAAGGGGAAGAAAATGAAATTGACGAAATAAGACCACTCCACCCTGCATACCATGCCGCTGCTAGACGTAACCCGAGAGCAAAAAAAGAGACAAACAAACAGATGAACCGATGGATTGTGCTGTGAAATGAGCATGATGAATGAAGTTAAGAGCAGTAGAAACGGTCCCAAGTAGATAATAGAGATGATGAGATGGCAAAAGGAACGGGGGTAAAAAAAGAAATAACAGTCCAAGGGGAGAAAATTGGAAACCGACAGCAGATGGGGTAGGGATCCGAGTAGAAGGGAATCTGGATGGCGTCTTGCGTCTTTTTGGAAGGTAGAATGGTATAGAGAGTCGAGTGGTGGTGGTTTGTAGTCCGTTGCGCCCAATGCTCCGTGCCTTCATCATACATGTCATGCTATGCTATGCCATGCTATGCCATGCCACGCGCCATACAAAACCGTTATACAGATGAAGATGAGACGAGAAGTTGAGTTGAGTGAGTGAATAAGTGATGTAAAGGGGTAAGGAAGTAAGTCTGTGGTGTAGATGAAGTGTTTTTTTTTTTTTTATCTCCCCATCATATAGTCCGGGTATGAACCGCCGTTGTTGATGGCTCCCATGTTACCGGCAGTCGGCGAACCGATGCCAACGCCGATGCCAACGCCCATATTCATGGAGGGGCCGGAGCCGGGACCCGGTCCAGCACCAGGCCGCATTGCTGCCATGGCATTTGCGTTATGATTCAGGCCAAGCCCGAGGCCGTTAAACTGCGAGGAATTGAGAACCTGGACCTGCTGTGGCGGTCCCATGGCTGAGTTATTTGTCGGGATAGACATTGGCATGGGCATGGGTAGGCCGGGCGGGGCGCTGAGACCAGGTGGTGGGCCATTTGCAGTTGAGAACCGGACCGGTCCCATGCCTGCTGATGTGCTGTTGTTCATGCCGGAGACAGGGCCTGGAGAGCTCATGGAGTTGGCAGGGTGAATGCTGCCTGGCTGGCCGTTGCGGACGCCAAGGGGATTCTTGGAGAAGCTGAGCCGGATGCCGCCCTTGACGCTGTTGGAGAGCTCGTAGCCGTAGAGTTCGGTCAGGCATTTGGTAGCAAAGGAGACATCTTCGAACTCGACGAAGCAGATGGGCCCGTTGGGCTTTTGGCGGAAGATCATGCGCTTGTAGCCGCGCTGGCGGGAGAAGAGGGCCTTGAGCTCGTCTTCGGAGGTGTCTGGCGGTAGATTGCCGACGTATAGAGTGTTGCAGGGGGGATTCTGGTCCGCTGGGTTGACTGGCGGGTAGTTGAGCCGGTGGAACTGAAGCTGGTGGTAAGGGGTTGTCGAGCCGCTTCCGCTGAAAGTAGATACTGCGCTGGTGGGCGTGGGCATGTTCCTGGTGGCTGGAGTGCCAGCTCCGGCGCTGAAGGGGGCCAGCGGCGGAGATGACAGGTTGGTCGTTAGCGAGAGATTGGAGAACTGCGACATGGGCAGCTGCGGGTTTGTCGAGCGGCGCTGGAGGGCCATGGGTCCGTTTCTAGCGTAAGCGATGGGATCCTTGAGCAGCTCGCCCGTGTCTTCATCGACGTCCTGATCGATGACGGATTTGCCAGAAACACGGGGCCGGTCGTTCATCCCGTTGCCTGCGGGAGACTGAGAGGAGAAGAGGGAGTGTATTCGCGACCCGGTATCCGGCGCAGGCAGCTCGCCGTTTGTAGTTGAAGCCGAGGACTGCTTGCCGATAGACGAGCCGTCCAGCGCATTGTCGAGCGAGTGCATGTCGTCCAGCCGGCTCAGCATGCGAGACGGCGGCATGAAGGGATGCGGCGAGGTCGGAGAGAGCATCGAGAGCGAGCGAGGCAGGTGGTCAATGGTGTTGCGGCGAGATATCAAGGCAGACGTCGAGGGCCCCGAGACGATCTCGACTATCATGTTGGCGTCGTTGGTCGAGTTGGGCTTCCCGTTCAGCATCGCCTGCGCCTCCTCGGCTGCGGTCCGCGTCTCGAACAGGGCGATGGCCGTCAGAAAGGAAGAGTCCTCTGAGTATTCGTTGGGCACAAATTCAGCATCGAGCAGGTTCTTTGCGAACAGCAGCATGCTCCGTAGTGCCTCGTAGCTGGTGTTCCGCGGCAGCATCCGCATGCGAACCGCAGTAGCACCGCCATGCTGCTGCTGTTGGTTCTGGTTCTGGTTCTGCTGTTGCTGCTGCTGCTGCTGCTGCTGCTGCTGATTCTGTTGTCCGTTGCCCATGCTGGACGTCGTAAGCCGTTTGCCTGCTGG